TCTGTTGTGGTTTAACCTCACAGCTGTTCAGTGAATGCCCCCACCTTCCTCCTCCCCCCCTTTTTTATTGCTGAGCATGATGTCATGGTATGGAGTATCCCTTTGGTCAGTGGGGTCCTGGCTGTGTCCCTTCCCAACTCCTTGCGCACCCCCAGCCTACTTGCTGGTGGGGCAGGGTGAGAAACAGAAGAGACCTTGATGTTGTGTAAGTGCTGTTCAGAAATAAACAAAACATTGGTGTTTTCTCAACACTATTTGCTCACAAATCCAAAACATAGCACCTTATGAGCTACTATGAAGAAAGCTAACTCTATCCCAGCCAAAATCAGTACGTGCTCCAAACCTGTCACCCACCACCCAGGCAGTTATTGCCAGCACACTGTTTGGCTGCCTGTTTTTCTATCCACATACATCTTCATCATCTGTCCTTATTTCTTCCTCACCACATTGTCTCCTCTCAGTGTTTTCCACAGCCTGGGGCACAGGGACACTGGAGGGATGCAGCTGCTGATATTTGGAGCAGGGAGTGGACATTTCTGTAGAGTGTAACACCCAGTGTTATATTTCAGACAGGATTTAAAGCTCTGAAGCCAAGCTTTAAGAACTGTGTTTTTTCATGGGATCTTTCACACAACACAGATTATGCCCCATCTGCTGATGGGATGATGCTTTGCTCCCGTCTCTGAGGTGGCTGGTGCTGAGCACACGTGGAGGTGGCCAACCAGTTCCTCTGGCCCTGAGAGAACTGGATCTTCTGGTCCACTGAGAACCTGACAGATGGTGCTGGGAAGCACGACCGAGAGAGATTATGCTCTGTCTGAGGCTCCGTGTTCACCCCTCTGGGCAGAAGCTGAGCATCCGCCAGAGCCAGAGTGCCCGCTCCTCCCCCATGGCGCAGCCCCCAGCCAGGCTGTGGAAGCTCATCCTTTCCCTGTGTGCAGACACATCACTTACATGTCTCAAGGAGGACAAAAATAAAAGGAGGATGGGAGGAGCAGGTGAGGAACATTCCTTCATCACCCTCACGGTGGAGCAATCAAGGCGACGTGGAGGGGCACTGAGGGGGCAGGATGCCCAGCCTCCGGGGCAGCCCCAGGGATGGAGGATGGGACTCTTCCCAGTTCAAGGAACATTTACCCAGGTCAGGTCGGTCCATGATGCACAGAGTGAACAAAGCAATCTTTTTGTTCTTGCAGGATATCCAAAGCACACTTACAGATTATGAGGATGAGGTACCCGTTCAAGTCTGTACACCAAGACTCAAATACATTAATCTATATTTTCATGTTGAAGATAATTAGAGCTGGGAAGCTGTCTGCTGATTTAACTTATCAAGCCAATTATTTAGCTGGTGAAGGGAAGAGGGAAGGCACAGATGTCTGGAGCTTTGTCTGAGAAGTAGGGGGATTGGAAATAGACTAATTCCATTTTTCACAGTACACTAACGAGTTTAGCCTCATGCCCACCAACTAAATAAAGCCATGTTCCCTGTTTATGTAGACAGACGGAGCCTGAATTCCTTGAGTGCTGAGGGCTGGAAAAGTTTAACTTCCACATCAGCCACTGCAGTCCCTGCAAAGAGCAGCAGACAAGCCAAGCAAATAATTAGCACAGGTTAGAGGAGCAGTTTATAATTATTTTTTTTTTAGCTTACAAACTAAAAGGTACAGTCTCTGTACTCAAAGCTTAAGCCCCTTAAGCACAACTTTTCTTTTATGATTTATATTTCCCGTAGCACTGTATTTCCCTGTGGTATCTGTGGGCTGTGGACTGGCAGCCCTTGGCTGGCAGCTCTGTAAAAGAAAGGAGAGCTGGTTCTGTGCACACATTGCCCGATTTTACCCGTAACTGTGAGCTGCAATAGCAACATTGCTGCTGAGTGATGGCTGCTGTGGGTATCACTAACACCCGCTGCCCGGAATGCCTGTCGCTTGGAATAGCTGGATGGGCTATGGGTAAGAGCTGTGGTAATGGCAACAACCATCAGAACAGCAAATAATCTCTGAAGGGAAAAAATAATGCTCTCAGTTTGCCAATGCCTTACCAAATTTACACTTGCAAGGAGTGACGTGTCCCCTCAGGGGTCGGAATGGGTGACGTAAATTCCAGTAATTGCTGCTGTTTCATGGCTCCCGGTGACCCTGGTGAAGGAGCACAGTCCCACGATGCAGGGTGCTGCACAGGCACAACCCAGGGAGAAAACTGCAGCCTTTTGCCCTTCCCCTGGAGGGTGGGTTAGGAGATAGCACAGGGTGCAGGTGGAGCACAGGAGGACCAGCAGGACCGTATCTGCCAACAGCCAAGCCACGGTCTGAACTCAGCAGCTGGGCAGGGGATGGTGGTTTGCAGAGCTCCAGAGAGGGCATCCTGCCCAGGGGGAAAGATGAAAATCTGAAATCCAGCAAGCAAGCTGAGGGAGCTGGCTGGGCAGGCTGGTAGAAAGCAGGGAGGGCCAACAGGCTGGAGGCACAGCCTGGGAGGGGAAATGGGCATCTGCCATCTGCTGCAACAGCCCACGGCAAGGGGAGGGCAGCCCAAAGGAGCAAGGATGATGAGAGGGACCGTTGTGCTCCTGCAGTGTCCTGCATGGAAGTGCATGGGGTGAGGCTGCGTGCATCAGGTGTGGAGATGTGGAACGGGCTGGGCACAGAGGGGAAGCAGCTGTCCAGTGCATAAAGGGGCCTACAAGAAATTTGGAGAGGGGCTTTTCACAAGAGTCTGTAGGAACAGGACAAGGGATAACAGCTTTAAACTGAAAGAGGGGAGATTTCGATGGGATCTAAGGCAGAAATTCTTCCCTCTGAGGGTGCTGAGGCACTGGCACAGGTTGCCCAGAGAAGCTGTGGCTGCCCCATCCCTGGCAGTGTTCCAGGCCAGGTTGGATGGGGCTTGGAGCAACCTGGTGTAGTGGAGGGTGTCCCTGGCCCTGGCAGGGAGGTTGGAACTGAATGATTTTTTTTTAAGGTCCCCTCCAACCCAAACCAGTCCATGGAGCTACAGCTTTTCACAGAATCAATGTAGAGAGCTGGAGAGGGACTCACGTGGAAGCAGAGACCAGGGAAGGATGGTGATGCTGCTGACAGCGACTGACAGAAGAGGCTGTAGCAATGTCCTGGGAGGGATGTAGCACCAGTGCAATGAGTGGTGATGTTATTGCCTTTACAGGTGAGGAGCCTGGGGAAAAATAAGGCAGGAAAAAGAACTGAACCAGTGCTGCAAAGTGCTTATCCCTGTTTGGCATATCTTCAAGGAGGAGGAAAGAAGTGAGATCTTCACGCCGAGGCACCAGACTCATCGTTTTCATTGCCCTTCGAAATCTAATCATGCATTACCTTTGAATTGCTAATGAAAACCGAGTCTTTAAGCAGGCAGGGCAGCACAGAGCAAGCATGTCCCCAGGGAACAGCAGCCACATCCTGGCTTT